GGTGGTTTGGAAGGTTTGGGCCATCATAGGGTTTTCAGGGGAGACCGGAGGGGGATCCGTTGTCTCTAATAGAGCTAAAGGGAGGTCCATAGAAAATGTACTGCCAAATAGCCGTCAACGAGGGAGGAACTTACAGAGCCCTATGGGGAATCAGATACATTTCTATGTTGGCATAACCAAAATCCTCCGACGTTGAATATGCAGATAGAGGGTTGAATATGTTAAACATTGGCCAAACTTCGCTTCAAAGAATTGACATTCTAGAATTATTCACCTCCACAACCAAATGCGCATAATTTATTGAACAAATATTAAGCGTTTTTACGCGAACGTTTTATTTTTCTAAGATACTTTTTGGCGCCACTACCAAGTTAAGGGTAACATGATTTGTTTCTGCTTTTATTTAAACACCGAGCTTGTAGGTTTAGTATTACTACTTTAGATTAAAACTGACCTTTTTGAAACCTTTACTCCTCTAGTCGACATGAGATCATAGTAGAAATGCTTGGAACAGCCAGAGCTCGTCGGGAAACAACCGCCCTGCCGACGAATATATACGGCTATGAGGAAGCGCAAACAAATGGAGATCGTTTCTACATTGCGGCTATGTTTGAAAAACGAAAACTCCCTGCTGAGTTCGTTCTTGGAAACGGAAAAACATACGGCTATTATAAGAATGTCCCTCTTAAACCAGGGACGCGATACAATGTGTATGTAAGAGGAGTCACCGAACGTGACGGGGTAAGCTTCCATTGTGGATTTTAGCACCTTATCGCATTTTTATTTAGTTTCGTCTCAGTCAGGCTGTTTCTCAATATGTGGTGGAATGTTTTCTTTTTTTACAGAAGTGGCTTTACGGAGAACCAGCTGCTCTCAGTCAGCTGGAAACTGGTTGGTGCCTTTCATTCCTATGTCTTTTTTGTTTGGTCAACTTGTCTCCTTATTTATGGCGATATTTAGAGGTGTACAGCAAATATGCACCCTTTTTTTACCAACTTCCTCGGATTGTCTCCCTCACGGTCACTGCTTTGTATTTAGGTGCCTTTACAGGTATTTTTAAGGACGAGGATGACAACTCAAATTCAAGAGTCATTCCAATCCCAGCCCTTAGCTAAGTATGAAAACATTCAGGTAATAATGCAGATGTGTTGTTACATATCATGATTTTGCAGAGGAGTCGCCAGTCGACAGTCGCCAGTCGCCAGTCGTTAAGGAAGGTGACAATATGGTTGGTGTAGTCGCTGGTGTTCTGGGAGCGCTGATACTTATCGCGACTGCCATCATAGCATTTCTTCTGTATCAAAGGTAATGGCGAGATTAAAAAAAAAAACAAAAGAAAAACATAATTGCGAGGATTATTGAGTAAATTGCGTCAAGCGACCAAAAGTTTTTAAAGTGTCGCTGTCAAAAGAGAGTTAATGCTGAATTGGTGCACCAGTCGCTTAGCAAGATGAATACTTCTTTCTTGAATACCGTGGTCAAGCTGGTCTCACAACACCGGCTTATGTCTTGCATCGCTGCCACAAGACACTTCGCCCAATTTTTTTAATTTTCCTCTTCTCTTTCTAATATTGTCATTTTGTTTTATTTTCAAACCAGATCCAACAGGCCACCCAATGCTAACCATAATGTGGAAAGTCAGAACGAGGAGTTTGAAATGAGGTCCTCCAGTACGTAACAAAATGCAGTGTTTTAAACATGTGCATCCCCATGTGAGATAACAAATAAGGCAATAAAGTAAAGCAAGATATATTCTTAGAGGGAAATGCAAAAGCAAAGGAGACATAGCTGTTTCCATCGTTTCGTCGTCGAAATAAGTAGAATTTGCTTGGTAATTGTGGGTATGTGTTTAGTTGTAGGAATCTAATAGCAAGTCAACAATATCAAGACAAGAGTGGAATCCTCTTTGAACTGGTCCAGTTACAGACTGCTCAGTTGTTACATTATTAAAAAAAAAAAAAAGAATAGCGATAAAATCAAAGAACTAAAAATACGAAATCTGCACAAAGCTTTTTGTAGATTTTGTTTGGTTCCAAAAAACTTCCCCTTTAAAAATAGAGTTTATAATAACGATTCTCTCATTGCAATGTATTCTGTGTGACTATTCACTTCGTTGCCGTTCCAATATCAAATTTTGGTTAAATAATATTTGTTATTGCTGTTTTTCGATTTTTCTCCC